GCTAGAATATGCATTTATATGTTCGGGACCCCAAATTTACCCATTATATTTGTTCCCAACTCGAGGGAAGCCACTCGATCTACCCCAGTTGGCCAAATCAGTTTTCGTAAGTACACACGGTACAGTAGTGTCAAGTGTGAGAATAAAGCCACACGGCTCTGCGTGAGTGACATTTCTGGTTCAAGCCCATTATCATGACTTGAGCAACTTGGCTTCCTTGATTAATGTCTACGCTCAATAGTTGCTGGGGTAACAGTCTGCAGTTTCTCTATGAGATTTTCATGTGCGAGTATAGTAGGATTGATCTTTTTTCCGGGATGAGATCCGTCAAAAATGTGGGCGCTAAAGTACCTAATGGTGACCGCACAATATAAAAGAAAAACAGACCTGCAGCGCATGCAAGTATTTAGAAGCCGGCCTTCCAATTACTGATTGAGGTCTGTAATCAGAACACAAAAATTGCAAGTGACAACAAATGAAAAATTGGGTATTAGTTACAGGCGTATCAAAATTTTAAGTTTGAGTTACTTACCTTGAAAGGCACATGAGAGTTCTCAACCAAAAGGCAAAAAAAATTATATTTCCTGAAGGATAAACTGCAACGCAATCCATAAAGTTGTCAATCCAACTGTACTTTTCTGTATATTACCATATTCTCTGCTGCACGAATTCTCGGATCTCAATTCTCAAACTCTACCACTAGTTACTGTCAGCTCAGTGGCGGATTTAAGGTTGGGGGACTGGGAGTACGGGCTCCACTGCCCCCTTAGGTTTCTATAGTATTAATAGAATTTTGATATAATTTCAAATGTACATCTGGAGTTTTCTTATGAAGGAAGTGAAAGAATTACGTGGTCCTCTAAATTGGTTTATGAACTAATATTTTAAAAGGGTATATGGATCACAAAGTTTAATTTGAAATAAGTTAAAAAAAGTTTTTTCATTTCAATTTATTGGTGAATATTTTTTTGCTTAAAAAACTAGAAAAAGAATAAGTAAAAAATTTTAGTATTACTTTTGCTCCCATTGAGAATTTTTTCTGGCTCCCTCACTGTGTCAGCTAATGCTACTTTTAATGGATGTTATAATGGGTACTTATTCTTGATGGGAGAAAAGCTCACATACACAAAGCTTTGCGGTCCATCAAATCCTAAATGCCTTTTTCTAGAAAGGATAGTGAAAGTTTCCCAGTTGTTCTTGCTCCGCTTGTCTAGCCAGAACAAGGAATTTGTCTTGATGTTCCTCACATATAGTTAATGTGCGCCAATGTAGCCTGTAGATCAAATGCACAGTGCAAGTTCATAGTTTTTGCAAGGAGGATATACTAATGTTCGCTCCTCGGTGCAGCTCATCTGATCGTGTCGTCTATCTTTACAGCATCGATCACCGTTCTATTTTCCCTGAATTAATGCGCTAGGCATCCTAAGGGGCAGCTCAGCCGCAGAGAATTAGTTTAGGTGATTTCAGGATATCCTGTGTAGACAAATATATATAATAATGTTCCCTAATGTGATCATTCACTTGAAGAAAAATGGTCGAGCCACGTCCATAGTTTTCTGGTGCATAATTCTGGACAAGTCAAACAAGCAATTTATGTACTCAAAACATTCGCAGTATCTATTTCGTTTCAACTAGATTCGCATCATAAAGATTCCTTTGCCTGGTTGGTTCCCATAATCGAGGAAATTTGACAAAATGTATTTTAACTGTTCAGCCAAAAAGGGATGGACCGTAATTGAATCAAAAAACTGTTGAGACCAAATTTGAGTTCTGCAATCATGCGTTGGTTGAATGTCTAATGCGCTTTCTGAGGGCCGCCACTACCAACTGCTGATTTTTCTTGGGAAGAAAACCATCCATTGCTATACCATGGGTGTTTACCTTGAATGTTAACATTCTTCACTCAGAACACCAGCACTATTCATAGGTGCTTGGAGGAAGTTATCATGGGTTTTGTTTTCAAAAATTACTTGAACAAACTTAAGAAAAGAAGCCCGCACAATGCACGGCTATTTGGTGCCTGTATTAAAATACTGTGGTTTGTCTTTTAGTGATTTGTGAGATAAATAGTAATTTGTAAGTATTTTTATCTTTATAAAAGCATGAAACTCTAGAGATTGCAAGTGCAATTTCTTTTTCTTTTTTTTTTTTTTTGTGTCGAATCACCTGTGAATTGTCTAAATCCTTGTTCACAACTTTTTTACAAAAAAAAAAAAAGAAAAAAAGAAAAAGCAAATCACTTAAATACATACCTCATCAAACTTTTTCCTTCTGATATATAATTAACTTCCAAAATTATGCAGTAGCTAATTACACGAAAAAGCTATATAGTCAAAATAAAAAGAAAAACATGGGCAGAAACATTTGCATGGAAGTTGGAAAAATATTTCTCAATGCAAAAAGAGTAAAGCTTTGCCAAAAAGAGTAAACCTATTGGCGGTCAACGGTGCCAAAAAAAAAAGAATGATGAAAAGCACACTTGCCCAGAGAGTAGAAGGAAGAGATGCGGGAGAGTAAAATCAAGGAAGAGATAGCTATAACATCGAGGAGAAAATCCGGTTCTCAGGAACTTAGGAATTCATTGGGCTGCCAAGTTACTTACCAAGTTTAAAAGAATGCATCTCAAGGGCCTGAGATTCATTAAAAAGGGTATGAACAATGCCTTAAAACCAGTTTTTGTAGTTGCAAGTTGTAACAAGCAGCAAAATAATTACTTCCCTAGCAGGCTACTAATCTACATTCTATGTGTTCATAACTTTGAATGATTTGTAATCATATTTATGGGTAAAAATGTCGATGACAAACAACTTAATATAGACCCTTAAAGTCATTTCACAAATAACCCAGCATTATCTACTTGTATGTATGTTCTACTAAATCAATTGGTCTGCCAAAACTCAAATCGATCCTCCAGGAGCAGATGAAATTTTGAGAATTGTACCCTCAACTACTGCTTCTTATCCATGTATAGGAAATTTTAAAATAATAATACTTTAATAAGTTTTATGATGTGATGCATACGAAATAAAAATGAAGGTGTGAAGATAAGAAATTAATTGAAAAACTTGTTTATAATGCATACTAAAAAAGTTTTGATTTGCATATCGAAAGACTTAGGACCAATCTCATTTTTGCACCAGAAAAAAAGTGTGGAACTCCAATATCAGGAGAACTCATCGTATTAATGTGTGAAACATGGAAGAAAAGTCCCGTAACACCCAATGGAAGAAGAGTCTTATGGCATCCAAGAGCAATCTCAGAAAGCTATGAATAGTTGTTGTTTCAATGAATTTGTTCACTGATAAAGTCACGATTCGACTTTGATTGTTATGGACCAGTACTAAGATCAAGGCCTAGACAGGCAGAACTAATTTTAACAACAGGAACGGTAACAATGAAAATGGTCCTTCTTTAGTGAGATTATATGAACAAATGCCTGAACCAAAATATGTTATTGCTATGGGAGCATGGACAACTACAGGAGGGGTGTTCAGTACCGATTCTTGTAGTACTATTCAGGGGGTTGATAAGCTAATTCCTATAGATGTCTATTTGTTCGGCTGTCCCCCTGAACCAAGGGCACATATAGATGCTATAACAAAACTTCTAAGAAAATATCTTGAGAAATCTATGAAGATAGAAATACTTCATGTGACGCCTTTCATGCCTCATTTATTTGTAACCTATTAGACTCCATGAAGAAGTAACAAACAAACACACATAAAATTGCTTAATAAAACAAATTCATAAATGAGAAAGAATTAGGGCAAATGTTGGGTTGGGTGTTAAGGTGGGAGTGGTGGTAAATGAGAAGTTTTAGAATCAAATCCCTTCACTTACAATTAAAAAAAAGAATTAATTTTTTATACATTAATTACTAATAGTGAGTACGCTTACTTCAATCAAAGCATTAAAGTTTAAATAGAAAATTTTGGAAACTCAGTTTATTTTGCCGACAAAAACTACCTCACAATTAATTAATACAATAACTTGGCAAATCAAATTCATGAAACCTATTAACTGATGCTTCAGTTCGTGATAATGAGAATTTGTTTTTCAGTTGCATTTTCTTTTGAACAAGGGAACCATTAACTACTTTTAAAATGCCAAAGCACTTGTGTTTCTCATACTTTCAGCTTAAAAAAAGGTGAAACCAGTGTATGTAAGAAATAGTCGTTAAAGCAAGAGGATAACGTCCAAATAGGGGCTGTCGCCCTTTCTCACCCCCCAAATTTCTGAAAATTTCAATTAGGTATATAAATAACATAATTTTATAAAATTTTCATATGATTCCTTATATTGCCTTCCCAAAAAATTTTATTAAAATTTTCCTCTGCCTCCTCCTAACTCTGGTCATTATAATACATAGTACTGTACCATTGGTGCGATTTTTGTACCTTTTTTTCCCTTTGTGCCTAGAAAAGAAAACTCCATTTGACTCAATCAACTTTCATATACAACAATCATTTTGTGGAATGACTTCTCAAATTTACCTCTCTATTTTGAAATTGTAGTTGTCACTAACTGAGAAAATAAGAAAATAACTGTCTTACGTGATCAAAAGCTAAGCTAAGATCCTGTGTTTTAAAATCAGTTGCCCTAATTTTCCTTGGTGATGGGGTCAAAAGCAACTGCTGGATATCGGAATTTCTATATATATTTCTCAAATAAAAATCTTGGGCATAAAACGAAGTTGGAGGCAAGCTTTAGAGGGCAAAAAGTAAATAGCTATTTTACAAGCTGGACCCCCAAAGCAGCTCGCCAACTGCATGACACGTGTTGCACGTCGTGCGGTAGTTGCCAATGTAGCGTACACCGACCACGATACCTCGATCCAACGGTCTCAAACTGAGACCCCACACGCTTCCCCAAAACCCGAATAACAAAAAAGAAAGAAAATAATATGCTGCTATTACTACTATATATATAGAAACAAAAGAAATTTTTTAATTCCACAAGCGCGAAAAAGGCCAAGATCGACACAACACTAGTTGTGAATTGCAAGCAATCATTTGCGCAACCTTTGTCCAATCACTTCTCTTATTTATTTTGTACAAACATGTACTTGTAAAACCAAGAAAAAACCCTAATTGTTTTAGCAAATCTTGCAAGTCAATTTTCTTGGCATTTCAGTCATTAATTAATTTTTGGGGGGTTGGGAGAAACGGTTTTGTCTCTGTAAAAAGGAATATGCCATTCTGCCAAACATTGGTTCCTTAGCAGCCATTCGGTTTTACGCTAATTTTTATTCCATTTGATATATTTACTCAGTACAGGGCACAAGCTGGCTTTCCCTTCTCCCTCTCTGCATTTTCCCTCTTTTCCCATTCAGGTACTATCTCTCTGTATCCCAATGTATATAATTTTTTTTGAAATTTAGGTCTTCCCCTTTTTTCTTTGTAAAAAGAAGTCATATATTAAGGTCTGTTTGCAATTACAAATTGTTGATGTTAAAGTTTGGAGCTCAAAGCCTTCTATTCGTATGAAGGTGCTATTTTTCTTTTCTTTTTTCCCCTGGAACCCTTGATGTATTGTGCTGTGTAGATTGTGGTTTTGTGCATTTTTGAGTGAACAAGTAAAGAATTTTGTTATTTGCGCGAAGTGGGTACTGGGAACTGAGGAGTTGGCTTTGGTGATTAGTTGCCGAATTTATTTAAGTTTTTGCAAGAAAGGAAATGGCTTTGGTGGTGTTGTTAGTATCTAGTTTGCTAAATTTGTTTCTTTTTCTGCTGATTTGCTTTCTAATGTAAGGCGGAGTATATTATTAGTACGACTCAATCGGTTTGATGTTTCTTTTCAGTGTACTTCTGAGCGTCTTTCATGCTTGTTTCAGTTTGTCATGAATGACTGAAGAAACTATTAATTCATAATTTTGTGATGAATCAAGTTGGCTTATTTTCACCGCAGAATTGACTATCTGCAGAACTTCTTTTCCAAGTTTGTTTAAATAGCCACTTTAAAAAGTTTTATCTGAGATTAGTAGTGAGTAAGCTAATAGTGATTTCTTTCTATTTACTTTGTGAGTGTGGGGTTTGCATTCTTTATTGCCCAGTTGCCCTTGTTTGTTGCGCTTTGGTGCTTATTTGTGCAAATTATTGACGGTATGATGTCAAGATTCACTCATTTGAATTCTTTTTTCAGGATCCAGGGGCTGGTCTTTGTTCTGCAGTTGGTGGTAAGGAGCTGGCATGCGTGCAAGATTTTGAGTCAAGTGAAGTAGCTTGGATTTGAGATTGTTTAATGGGTTCTAATAGGCAGTCTGTTGGTTTCTTGGATACTCTCAATATGGAGACGGTTAGGACTATTTTGACTCACACATCCCCTTATCCGCATGAGCATTCGCGTCATGCAGTTATTGCCGTGGTTGTGGGCTGCTTGTTTTTCATATCATCAGATAATATGCACACTCTTATCCAGAAATTAGACACCAATATTAAATGGTGGTCTATGTATGCTTGTTTGTTCGGATTCTTCTATTTCTTTTCATCTCCTTTCATAGGGAAAACAATTAAACCCAGTTATTCAAATTTCAGTCGATGGTAAGCTTCTTTCTTTTCCTAACTTTAGCTACGAGGCAATCTTTTTGCTACGATGCATTCTCATAGATCAGAGTAAGTTGAACTTTTATTTGCATTTGCTTTGCAGGTATATTGCATGGATATTAGTAGCTGCTGTATATCATCTTCCCAGTTTTCAATCAATGGGAGTGGATATGAGGATGAATCTTTCTTTGTTCTTGACAATTTTTGTCTCATCAATTTTGTTTCTTCTGGTCTTCCACATTGTATTTCTTGGACTCTGGTATATTGGCCTTGTCGCTCGTGTAGCTGGAAAGAGGCCTGAAATTCTGGCCATTTTGCAAAATTGTGCTGTAAGTCCTCAGAACACATCTTTTTGTCAAGCTAAGCCTTGGTTCTTATTTTATGGCTTTATCTTTGTGTAGGTTTTAAGTATTGCCTGCTGTGTCTTTTATAGCCATTGTGGCAACAATACTGTGTTGACCAAAAAATCATTTGAAAGGAGAAGTTCTGGTTGGTTCACACTGTGGAATAAGGAAGAGCGTAATACCTGGCTTGCAAAGTTTGTCAGGATGAATGAATTCAAGAATGAAATTTGCTCGTCTTGGTTTGCTCCTGTGGGATCTGCTAGCGATTACCCGCTCCTCTCCAAGTGGGTTATTTACGGAGAGGTATGATTTTCGGCTGTCAAGTTCATCTGATATTCTTAGTCAGTCTTCCAGTGTTTAGAAACTTATGCTTTTATGCCCTTTGTTGTCCCGCTTTACTTTTATCAGTCAAACTGCAGCAACGGTTCATGTTCAGGATCATCAGGTGATATTTCTCCCATATATTCATTATGGGCCACTTTTATAGGGCTCTACATTGCCAACTATGTTGTCGAAAGATCAACCGGGTGAGGTGCTAACTGGTGCTTATTTTCAAATCTATAAATGTAGTTCTTTCACTTTTCTTGGTGATTGTCTGTTTGTCGTTTGGGTCTTCTTGTTGCTGAAATTTCCTTTTATAGTCATCCTTTCATGGTCAAGAATCCATCTTAGGGCCATGAAATAGAGGCTACCATCATCCCTCATAGTTTAAGGTTCTATCCATTGTCTTCTTCAACTTATTCAGATGGAATTATTTTGGTCAATGCCTTGATAGAAGTATATGACACATGGTGCATGTCAACTGAAAGTGTGCTGGTGCAGCTTTAATTTTTTTTTTTTTTTAAATCAAGTTTCTCATCTTTGGTAGCCTAACTTCCTTTTTATTTTGTCATGTGTGGTCAATAGATGGGCCCTTAGTCATCCTATGTCACTAAAAGAATTTGAGAAGTTGAAGGAAAAGCAAATGAAGCCCGAGTTTTTGGATATGGTTCCTTGGTACTCCGGGTACATGCTCTCTCTCTCTCTCTCTACACACACAAACAAAACATTGGGAACATTAGGGATTGAAAGGTCCTTTTTGCTTTTTTATGATCTCAATGATTGATTGTTGCAGGACATCCGCTGACTTATTTAAAACAGCTTTTGATCTACTGGTATCAGTAACTGTATTCGTTGGACGCTTCGATATGCGTATGCTGCAGGTACTGTTGTGTAATTGAACTCATTGGTTGGAAATTGATGTTGCATTGTAGAATGTGTCTCCCATTCTTCATGTTTAAGTACCTCCATCCCAATAATTTTGTCACTCTTATAAGGACTCATGCTTTCTATAAAATAGTGTTGGCAAATGTTGTGCAATCTTATTTTTTTATTTTTTGCCCTTTTTCTTACATGCAATAATTTTTTGAACATTGTTGATAATGGGAATGGAAACAAGAAGTGGGGCCATAGTTTTTTCGAAAGGTCCAAGCAAAAATGTGTTGCATGACTTCAGAGTTCACATTCTGACAACTTTTTTATGTCAAGCTGGATTTTGAAGTTGATAAGCATTTTGTATAACAATTGTTGACCCCCATGGTTTGGATTTAAACATCATTCTCACAAGGGGTAAGAACAAAAAACCAGTTGACACATATTTCCTATTTTTGGTAGGGGTGACAAAAGGGTCAAACCAAAAAGCAAAGTATGTCACTTTCGTTGGGAGAGAGTAAATGTTAATAAAAATTACTAAGCACTGAAAGTAATTTTTAGGCAATCTTATACCATATCTGTTTGAAATAAAAGATTTTTGCTCTGTAGAAGGTCTAAACAAGTACATGGCAGGATGGCAGCGTTCTGCCTGCCTTTCATTTTCCTTCTATACAAAGAAGATGGAGTTGGTGGTTAATTGGTGAATTTGGGAATGGGTCATGGGTTTTCTCATGCTATTATCATCAATCTCAGTCTGGTTTCACAGTGGTAGCTTCTTAGATTTCTTGTCCTCATTCTCAGGCAGCAATGAGCAGCGTTCAAGATGGAGCTAAACAGGAGGATCTGCTGTATGATCAGTTTACTGAGAAAGATGAGCTGTGGTTTGATTTTATGGCTGATACTGGTGACGGTGGAAATTCTTCCTACTCTATAGCTCGCCTTCTAGCTCAGCCTTTACTCAGGGTCCGAGAGAATGGTTCTGTGGTTACGCTGCCTCGTGGTAACCTGCTCCTTATTGGGGGTGATCTTGCGTAAGCAATATTACTTACATTTACTCCATTTGTGATGCAAAAGGTTTCTAATGGTTCCAAAGATTGAACCCCATCATGAGGTTTTGCCTTGTACAGTCAACATATATGCAAGATTTCCTTGTATAATAGAGGATAAAGAACACTGTATAAAACATTCTGAATGTTGAAGGACAAATGTTTTCATTTTTATTTTTTTAATTTCCTTTATGTATTTTTCAAATCTGGAGGTTCAGGACGAAATGAAACATATTGCTACACTGAGGAACTTGCTTTTTAGGAAGGAATTTTAACTTTCCTGAGTTGAATTAATCCTCTTATGGTTTTCTTGTTATTTAGATGTTTTCCTCTCCTAGTTAGATCTTCCAATGCAAAACGGGTTTTCAAACTAGTACACAATTTCTTTGCAAAATATTCATCAAGTTAAGAGCAATTTTCTTGGTAACGTGAATAAAAACCTTTTTCTTTTGGTTGAACAAACTAAACTGGTCGAATATTATTCCTCTTGGGTATACGAGATGCAACCTTGAACTAATGTTGAATGTGGTCCAAATGAATATAGAGCTTATCATTTAACTGATTCAAAAATGTAGTCCATGTCCTTTTTTTTTCAGAAAAAAATGATTAGATATGCCTACTACTAAACTAAACTGTAAATCATTCTATAGATGCTTTTTGGTGAAATTACATGACATTGACTCTCAAATGGTCACGTCAGTTGCATCTGATTCTGTTTTATTTTTAACAGATATCCCAATCCATCAGAATTCTCCTATGAGAAGCGGCTCTTTCGCCCCTTTGAATATGCGCTTCAGCCTCCAGCGTGGTATAAAGAAGAGCATATAGCTGTTAATAAGCCAGAATTGCCTTGTGGGGAGACTCAATTGAAGCAGTACAATGGGCCTCAGTGTTTTCTTATCCCTGGAAATCATGGTTGGTCTTGATCATGGTCTTGGGATGGCTTCCTCTTAATTCTTATTTTTAAGTCAACCAAAGATAAATTTCTGCGACCATTAATGCTATTTCTGTTAAGTTTAATCAACCATTGCTTTAAACCTGGGCGTTTATCTGTTGCTAGCAAATGATTCATATCCTGCTGATTTTTCCCTTTTGCAGACTGGTTTGATGGCCTTCAAACTTTTATGAGATACATCTGTCATAAAAGTTGGTTGGGTGGCTGGTTTATGCCTCAGAAGAAAAGTTATTTTGCTTTGCAGCTACCAAAAGGGTGGTGGATATTTGGTCTTGATCTCGCTCTTCTTTGTGATATTGATGTATACCAGTTCAAGTTCTTCTCAGAGTTAATAAAGGAAAAGGTATCTCCTACGTTACTCTTAATTCTATTAGTATATTTCATTTTACTTGTTGGAGAAATTTGTATACGTTGCCTTTATTCCTTCACACACATGCTTTCAAGTGACAAATGACTTGGCTTAAGTCTAAGAGATAGATCTAAAAACGACGAATGTTCCTTACTTTGCTATGAAGTATCATAAAACTAATCAGAGTCTCTTCCAAAACAAGATCTAGAACATTTATAAAGACCAAATTTTGGATTTATGGTGCTATGGACTTGTCTGGAATCACGTGTCATATATTGCTTATCCATCCCTACATCGTTATTGAGCATGCCTTTATGCTACCACTCCGTTAGCTATACCTTCATTTGACCCATTCTTGGGATTTGTTCTGGCTTTTTCCATCTAAAATATTCGTATTTGGAAAAAAAAGTCATTTTTCTTGAAAGGGTTGAGTAGTTTAACCTGGTTTTGCTATTTTGATAAGTAATCAAACTTGGTTGAGCGTTGTCACCATTTCTTTTGGTTGAGTTCTTTTTCTCTTCTCACCTCTGTTTCTAGTAGTCCTGAATCAAGTGGATGATTTTTGTAGGTTGGGGAAAATGATTCAGTGATCATTATGACTCACGAACCCAATTGGCTTCTTGATTGGTACTGGAATGATGTGACTGGAAAAAATGTCTCACATCTGATTCGTGACCATTTAAATGGGAGATGCAGACTCCGAATGGCTGGGGATTTGCATCACTACATGCGCCATTCATATGTTCCATCAGATAAGCCGGTTCATGTGCAGCATTTGCTTGTAAATGGTTGTGGTGGGGCTTTTTTACACCCCACACACGTGTTCAATAATTTCAATGAACTGTATGGGACATCATTCGAATGCAAGTCTGCTTATCCTTCTCTTGAAGATTCAAGCAGGGTAAGAAACCTGGACTCCTCAACTTTCAGTTAGATTTATTTTGTATTTTGGCTTCTAAAAGAGCTGGATCTTTCGGTGCAGATTGCTTTGGGAAATATATTGAAATTTCGCAAGAAGAATTGGCAGTTTGATTTCATTGGTGGGATTATATACTTTATCTTGGCATTTTCCATGTTCCCTCAGGTAGTTAAATTTCTTTGATGTTATTGACAAGTTCTGTAGATGTGTAGGCTGTTGCAATCTGAATGTTACATTTGATTGCCTCCTGCTCCCTCTATAAGAATAGTATCTACTGCATTTCCAACCTCTTCAAGGCTATGTTTCCTTGTTGCCGAACAGTTTTTCACTTTAGACTATACTAACAAGAAGTTATGCTTTGGACCTAGAGACTGTTGCACAATTATTTCTGCAAACCATATAACAGAAATTTAAGTTACATCGTCTAAAGTTATGCTTTTTTGCTACTCCACAAGTAAATGACTTGTTATTGTTCTTCGTGTAGTGTAAGCTAGATCACATCTTACAGGATGATACCTTTTCTGGTCACTTGAGGAGCTTTTTTATCACAGTCTGGGATGCTTTTATGTACTTGTTGGGACGCTCCTATGTGTCCTCAGTCAGTGCTTTTCTGCTGCTAGTAGCTTCAGTTATTTTTGTCCCCAGCAAAGTTTGTCGCAAGAGAAGGGTTCTAATTGGGATTCTTCACGCGTCTGCACACTTGGCTTCAGCATTGATTCTCATGTTACTGTTGGAATTGGGTGTAGAGACTTGTATCAGACACAAGTTATTGGCTACTGCAGGTGAGTTGTTTGTTCAAATTGGTTATACTGTCACGAGAGTAGAGCTAGAATAATGCATATTTTTCTGGCCCTGCATACGTGCATTTTTAAATGTTGAAATTCTTGATTTTGAAAGATCATCATGTTAGGGTTTCAATGTTTCTGATGTTTTCACTGACGTATGACTCAATCTTTTATTTAGGTTATCACACTTTATATGAATGGTACCGATCTGTGGAGAGCGAGCATTTTCCAGACCCAACTGGCCTTAGGGCACGTATAGAACAATGGACATTTGGCCTTTATCCAGCATGCATCAAGTATCTAATGTCTGCTTTTGATGTGCCGGAGGTGAGTATGCTTCCTTAAAAAATGGTAAAAGGAAAAGCATTAAAAAAATCATTTTTCCTGTTTGGTCTTTTTCCTTGCAATACTTTCTATAATATACCTTCTCTGTGCAAGTCTAGGTCATGGCTGTCTCAAGGAATTACATCTGCAAGAAGGGGATAGAGTCACTCTCCCGGCAGGGTGCTGCTATATATTATGCTTCTGTCTTCCTTTACTTCTGGGTCTTTTCAACCCCAGTGGTTTCATTGGTTTTTGGAAGCTATCTGTACATCTGCATAAACTGGCTCCATCTACACTTTGATGAAGCCTTTTCATCGCTACGAATTGCTAATTACAAGTCCTTCACACGATTCCATATTGACCGCAAAGGCGATCTTGAAGTTTTCACCCTTGCCGTGGACAAGGTAAGCTATCAAATTTGCTCAAATGGTAACCAGAAATCTCCATATCATGTTAGGGTGGCATTTTTTTATGGATCTGTTTGGGTTATGCTGCCGACTTACTCTAAGTCATTGTTTTAACCCTCATATTGGTCTGGATTTATATTTTGGTGTGTGTGTGTGTGTGTGTTGGGGGGGGGGGGGGGTAGACCTGAATTTTGGTGCACATTTGGTGATGCAAATGTTAACCCAACAAATAATTTCTTCTGCTCCATTGTTAAGGCCACTCTAGAAGAAGGGTCACATATATGATGACTGACCTTTTAGAAAAGTGATGCTCATGTTCTTTCTTTTTCATTTTTCCCCGGTCCGTTCTGCCATCACTTTCTTAACATCTACCTACTTGATTGTTGTGCAGGTTCCAAAGGAATGGAAGCTGGATCCTAACTGGGACGCGGAACCAAAACAGCATTTGAGCCACCAGCGGAAGTTCCCCAGCAAATGGCGAGCAACTTCCTCTCAGCAGGATCCCGTAAGCGCTGTCCGAATCATCGACCATTTTGTTATTCAACAAACACAGAAAGAAAACTGACACGTGATCATTGAGAATCATCAATTGGTTGGTCATTGATATTCTTTTCAGGCAGGACAATTGGCTGGTAGTGTAACAAAGCTGGTAGTGTAGTTACCTTAGGAAGTTGTATCACAGAGAATTGAAATATAGGGGGAGAGAATGCTGCTGCTGGTAATCAACAAGTACCTTAGATCAGTGAAAAATTAAGAAAAGGAGAAAAAAAAAAAAAAAGAGAGAAGAAATTTTGTTTATTCTTAAATTTTGTTGTTTATTCTTCGGTTGAGGGTTGCATGACATGTCTTCTTCCTCGATGCTAGTGGCTGCAACTAGTTTAGATGAGTTTGTCACATCACCGTCTCATACTGCAAAATGTGACCGAGGATTTAATTTTGCAAAATCTGCTGTGGAATTTAATTTTGCACTGCTACGATGGATGGAGTAGTTATAATTAGACCGCGGATTTCGATGAAACTCCATGAATGAATATTGAATACTATACTAGTAGTATAAAATCAAGAAAGAGCGAGCAGCCGTTTCTCGTTCCTTTGCAGCGAAGAGTTCAGAATTAATCAGACATCTGCAAATTCACCGCACCGTCATGGACTCCAGCCAAATAATTCACAATAATGATTGACCTAACGCGATTAAGAGCATCGTTCTATTGTTTTGTTCAGTCAGGCTTCATCTCTGCAATAGTATGCATAGGTTCTTCCTTCTTGGGTTGAAGAATGAATTAGACCGTATCCGCGTTGGAATTAAGTACTAGAAGTGGGACCAAGGTGGTCTCACTCCTTTCAAGCACATGGAGTTCGTGTGGCTTTTTTTTTTTTTTTTTTTTTGGTTATGTTAAGGTTGACTAATACCTTTTTGTGATAAAATTAAAGATGCAACGCAATCCCTTTTCTTGGTTCTCAAGCCATTCACTAAAGATTTTGATTATAATTGATCTTCTAAGGTTATACCCATTTTTCATTTTATCCTCTAACCTTTAATATTTTTTATCACTTAAACTTCATGTAAGACAAAATTACCCTTCTATTATTTTGACTTTTCCCTTTTTCCTCTTCTGTATTTCTTCTTCTCTCTTCCATTCTTCCCAACAGAAAAATTCATTTTAACAAAAAAAAAAATTATTTGGAGTTTGTAATTGCGTTTTTGAGGGAAGTTTTAAAAAACATCAAAAAGCTAATTTCAATCTTTTTGTACAATGTCATGTGTTGCAAATTACAATTAATGATTATTAATCAGGTCTCAAACTCATCTTATGATATTTTATTGAGAATAAAAGTAGAAACCGGAAGGAGAAGGGGAATAGGCAAAAGAATTGAAAGCTTAAAAAATGGTACTTTCGTAGAAGTGGTTTGAATATTTTCGTAGAAGATAGATCTTTACAATCCCTCTTTTTTAGTTTCAATCACTAAGATGAAGTTTCTTGTAGAAAAGAGGAAGAATTAAAGAAAGAAGAAAGTGACAAAGAAAATAAAGGAGGAAAAAAAGGGAAAGAAGAAAATACAAAAGGGAGAAAAAAAAAAAAGATTTTAGAATAATAAAGGCGTAATTTTGTTAAGAACAGTACAGTATACTTGTTTCTTATTCTTTTGTAAAGATTACAAAGAAAATATGGTTCCATTAACAAAACGAACAGCCATCCTCAAATTAGCAGCAAGCAGTAAAAAAAAATGAAAATTCGCTTTGCAAGGCTTTAATTGGGTCAAATCAAACGTGACCCAAAATGAACCATGAAGTATACATATCGCGCCATTTGCCCGAGTTCCCGAAGCTCGAATTGGGAGTAGGGCATGTACCATTAGGTTTATCGTACAATCGTCTGATTTTTGTACATTTTACTTGATTTAGTGTATATTTATATTTCTTTATTATACACATAATTTTATTCTTGTACACTAATTTAATAGCATCACAATTACAAACATACAATACCTTGTAAATCTACAACACCTTCCGAAAAAGAACAATCAATAACTTTATCATTTGTACAATAGTTTCAATTGTATCGCCCCTTTGCCCCCAAATTGCATCTCTTCCTCATGATATTAACATTTTGTTTTTCTCTTGCTCAAAATGTAAATTTTTTTTTGTATTTTTTGGGATTTGAGTCACTCGAATTAACAATTTAATATAAATAATATCCTCTATAGTTTTTTTTTTTCTTTTTTTGGTTTCTTGTTGGTCAAGGTACCGCAAGTAGCAAATCATCAGCTTCACTTTCTCAAACGTTGCAGTATAGTAACTTCCGGAGTAGGGTTAGCACTTAGCAGCAGTTTAATTGAAGCATTTACTTTTGTCCAAAACTCCAAACTTGGTGCAACCACTGATCATCAGCCATCATCCCACAATGAATAAATCATCATATCATCACTTCACTTTTTAATAGATTTCTCAATTTTTACTTTAAAAGAGTCAGAGGACAAAGATAAAAGATAAAGATGAAAGGGATAATTTCAGAAACCTCCCCGGAGGTTTTCGTCCTATTTTTTTAGAACGAGTTGAAGGTGTAGGCATTATTGGTGGACAATAAATCGATAGACGGAACTGCCATGAAACGACTTATTAGTTGATTAATAGATCACTTCGGAATGGCATATACATCACACACTAGAAATCAAACCTGAATGTTTTTATATAGGAAGTAATTGTTTTTCAAAAATTGAGAAATCCAAACAGAGCCTTTGGTAATACCAAAGGCTGGAATAACCTGCGAAGAAATCAAAAATTGTTCTAGACTAGAAGTTCCACCATCCATCATCTATGCCACTGGAAGCGCCATCAGCCATGCCTCTGGCATCATCCCTACACAAATGAAAGGAAAAGCAAGCAATAAGTTTATTGACGCGACACGGTTCTCTCACAAAAGGCTGCTGAAATGAATAGCCATTTAGGAGTTGGGCTTTTAGTGCAAAATGAGTTTCAGAATCCGTTCTCAAAATAACTAAAATGAACACCATTCTTCTCTCTCAAGGGCAATAAGGCAGAAAGTACATAATTCAAACAAGATGCACACAAAGTTTAGGCAAGATGATGAAGCATAAATATACCATTCTCTACAAGATCAATTATATAACCTGCACTGTGAGGCAGATGTTATTATTCCACAATATACTGAAAACCAATAATCTCACCATCAGCTAAGAGGTCATATTATATTTAACATTGAATTACTTACCGATCGATTTCAACCATGCAGATACCAAACTCCACTTTAACCTTGCAGGGGCATTAGTCTAGTATTCAGAGAGAACATCAAGCATGTCTAACGTATATATACAACTGTTGACAACATGCACAGAGTCACCACTTCATGCAAATACTATAGAGTTTAGGAGAAGTCTTTCTGGCTACAAGCCTACACCATAAACCAATATCTTCTTGAAGTCCATTAATATCAGTGCATCACTTTCATCCTCGACGAACAGAACTCAAAATGCTCACACCGGATTTTTTAACAAAATCTAAGAAGCTCATTTACAATTCCCTGATTGGAATTTATAAAAATCATTCTTAGGTAAAAAACAAGGACCTCCCTTATTACAGAGACCTCCCTTATTGTGATGAAAACACAATAATGCCCTTTATTAATTGTCAACTCATTGAAAAACTCTATCAAATATTAAAACTCTCTCATCGATTATTAACCAATAATTCAAACCACAATTTTTTCTATTTAACTATCTTTTCTTTTTCTCATATATCTATTTTTCTTTCAAACTCATTTATCTATTATTATCAACCAAATGCGTACTATCGCTACTAATATAATCACCATACACGCTAAACCACCAATACTTGTATATCTTACTATCTATTCCCAATCCTCGATTTTCTGTTATTAGTAAATAGTTTCCTCGCACCTATTTTTTTTCCATTTTTTGATAGGTATTAGCAAATTGAAATTGTCAAATGACAAATTGAGTGCTAATTTCATTATCAAATTAGATGGAATGAAGATAGTGATAGTGATAAAAAATAAAATTAAGGACAAGAAGTGGAATAGAAACTAAATATAAGTTATACTATTATGGTTATCATGAAAAAAAGTGTTCTTGGTATATATTTATAACTACATTGTGTTTCTATTTTTGATTTACAATTATTGATATTATTCCTATAGAGAGAATTTGATTGATTTTGAACTCTGTGCCAATGGAATATATTGAATATTGATATTAGTAGTGATTGTTTAGATTATTTTGTATTAAAAAGGTGGCAGTCATGGAATTGAAATTTAGGAATATTGATGAATATTATAGTATATTAAGTAAAATCTAATATTGTTATGAAATTGTAAGTAAGTTTTTGGATATATGATGTAGCGTTTATAATTGATACAATGGTCTGCATCGAAAATTTTTAGGTAAAAGAGGAACAATAGAACAAAGATAAGTGCTTATTTAATGATAATTTGGATGTTAATAAGTAGGTAATAGTGGTAAAAAATAAAGATAAATGAAAGAGAGACTGTAAACCATTTTTTCCTTTACATTTTTGTTGTTAATTATAACTCAAAGGTATTATAGAAAATTGGGGGAAATTATAGCCTTTTGGATCTAGAATATTACTTAAATAGTGAAAATAAGGGAGTTAAGTATAATTTTTAGAACTTGAGATGAGCTTTCTGCAATTGTTAAAAACCTCAGGGGAGGTATGTGAAATTAACCCAAGATGAAAAGCTCCCACCATAACCGAAACATATAACTACCCAACTCCCCCATCTCTTACGCCAACATCAGTAACTTCCTCCCTCTCTCGTGTCTTTTCAGTTGTTGCCCATAATGCCTTTTTATAGCCATTAACCCCATTTCTTTGCTCTTTTTTTTTTCTTTTTTTTTTCCCCTCTCTTCCTACCTACCTGCTGAAGAAGATGGAAAACGACCAGAGCAACATTGACGACAAGGGTACCACTTTTGTGGTTGACGCCAGCACTTCAGATTCCCCGACACCTTTAATGACTTGCCCTGACGGTCAAGAAATCTCGCCACCAACCCCTACACCGCCATTTCTTGATTCTGCTCCAGGCACTAGTGGGACCAAAAACGTCACCTTTCCAAGCCTGAAGTACCACCAAAAACCCAGGAAAAAACGAACCAAGTTGGTCAATATTGCCGAGCATGGGGTTAAGTCTGGTGGGAATATTTCCAAGCCTAAATGTGCCAGAAAGCCTGACCCTAATGCACCCAAGATCACCAGGCCCTGCACTGAATGTGGCAAGAAATTTTGGTCATGGAAGGCTCTTTTCGGGCACATGAGATGCCACCCGGAGCGCGAGTGGCGCGGCATTAACCCTCCTCCCAATTTCAGCAGGCACCACCACAATGATGCCTCGACATCAGGAACCAAGGAGAATTCTTACTGGATGTCCGAGGAGGATCACGAGGTCGCCGTGTATTTGTTGATGCTGGCTAATGGCCGTGGTCCTGATGCTGCTGCTGCTGCTGCTCATGAGTCCCCAACTGTGACTACTGCTTGTAATAATGTGGCAGTTCAAGGAACATCGGAGTCTGATAACGCTGCTGCTTTGATGGGCTGTGGAGATGTTGATGAAAATACTGCTGCTGCTGGTCCTTCTTCCGGCTTGTTGAATTGTACGCGATTTGAGTGCTCAAGCTGCAAGAAAGTCTTCGGTTCTCACCAGGCTTTAGGGGGTCATAGGGCTAGTCACAAGAATGTCAAGGGTTGTTTTGCTATTACTAAAAATGACGGCGAGGAGGAAGACAGGACGGGAGAAGGGGAGGTGGTAAAAGATGGCACTGTAGAAGAGGACAAGATGTTGATGGTATTTGGGCATAAATGTACCATCTGTTTGAGGGTTTTCTCAAGTGGTCAAGCTTTGGGCGGCCATAAAAGGTGCCACTGGGAGAGAGGGGATGAACCATCAGGACTCACTCAGGACCTCAATCCCTTTTCCTCAGGAAAGGAGGGTTCTTCTGGTTTGGACTTGAATTTGCCTGCCCCTGCAGAAGATGATGATTCTTCTTCGTCCTATTATTCAGGCCTGGCATTAGATTTGCGATTGGGACTCAAGCCCTGATTAAAGGTCTTTGATTTGCTTTAGTTGATTGCTCTATTTTAGGCATTTGTGATACTAATTTGTACGACTTATATTACTATTAGATAGTTGAAAAGAGTTTCTTCATGGCTGCAAATTGGAAGCCAAAGAACTCCACTGAATGTATTACTAATTCATCGAAGCTATACTTCTCAGAACTACTAGTTCCTAATACACACAGTGTTACCAAGTAGTGGTGGTGCAATTGCTGAAGCATTTAAACAGACATTCATACACTGTTCTCAGTATATAATGTTTCTTATGGTTGGTCGTTATTGAACCCTCGGTCCTTTATATACATCTAGTTGATGATATAGTGCATAATGTTTCTTATGTTTGGTCGTTATTGAATCCTCAGCCCTTTATATACATCTAGTTGACGATATAGTGCATAATGGGCCCTGTTTGACATGTCTTGTTTTTATGTTAATGCTTTTTAGGTTCTTTCCTTTTCTGTTATGACAACTTACTGTAGCTGCCAATATTTATTGGAATACAGGGGAACAAAATCCTGTTCCTAGACATTTCTTCCCTAGCATGTTCACCTAATTAGCTACTGATGATTGGATTGTTTGACTTCATTTTAGAGGGAATTGCCAATTTGCTACTCGACATGGTTAAGGTTCTTTAATACTTACAGTTCTTGCCTGTTTAGCTGTGTGTCTTCTTGAATCTCTTTCTGTTATGTCTCTCCAAGCTCTTACATAGCACACTATTGGAGAGCCATATGATTGAATTCCAGCATGGTTTAGGTGACATTTGAGAGATTGATTAAGCAGAAATCAGCTGGATTCATAAAAAGATTATAGACAATTTATAGTCAATAGTGCTGGCTCAACCTGACGTAAAATAAAAAGGCAATTTTTGAATATAAATCCTAGAACAATATGCCAAATTGCAGAGAGTTATAGCTATTAGCATGAGAAATAAGTGGTGTAGGGTGAATGTCCTACTGTAGATTAGCTTTCAGATTTAGTAGGCCAAAAAAAATCTGATGAAATGGTTCACTTCACTTGGTGAGTATGTCGTCAGCCTATTAGAAAATCAGCAGTTTCCTTTGTTTGAGCATACTTTTGTTAAATAACATAGAAAATTGACCTGCCTTATTATACAAGTTAGTGAAACCCAATAGTGCTTGAGATTTTTGTTTTCCACTTTTTTAAGCAATAGTGTGTTAGATTTACATTGAAGGAGTTTATAGATGATCATACGCCAACATGTGACAACGGCTGTCTCCATGTCAGAGGATATAGATCAGAAACAAAATGAATCAAATAATCAAGTCTCCCTGTTAAAAAAAAAATTTGGTTTTTTCTTTTTATGTTAAAAAAATTGGTTATACTTCTTTTAGACAAACAAACTTTAATCTCGGCGCTACTTATAAAAAAATTGGATTTAAACCACAATCAGTAATCTGAATTCAGGAAGCGTTCATATGGTGTTCCCTTTAAAGCTCTCTGCACATCTTCTCCATTCTTGATCTGCGTTGATAATGAGCCAGAGTGTATCTTAACCTGATGGCTACTCAGGTTTCTGTGTGGTAGCTTCAGGAAGTCCTGAACATCTATTAGTTTCTGTGAAAGCCATTTATGACAAGCTCATTAGGCACATTACTAGTTGCATAGGTCGAAAGCTTTTAAGAGATGCTCTTACCGTGTGGTTTCTGACAACATCCTCATAGTAGAGGACAATGTGTCTAGTGGTTTTGAAATATTCCAGAGCCCTGGCGGTAGTCTGTTCTTCTTTCTTGAGATTAGGTACAAGTCGTGTGGTATTGATTGAAGGCTTGTAACTCGCAAGTACTTGAGCCTTGTTGAAGAATTAAAATCAGAAAGCTAGGAGGTAAGGCAGAAACCAGCATAACTTAGTTAAAAGCTAGGAGAATTTAAGAGGAAGGAAGGAAGGAATCTGGACCTCTTGTGGTGAATGCACATGAGATTTGTGCGTTCCGTTCAACAATTTAGCATCTTTGTCATAGACATTTGCAATCAGGGATATCATTCTGCGCAGATGATTTCTTCTGAAGAGATATATTGCATGTACACCTCTCTTCTTGAAGTATTCTGCTATCCCTTCATGGTACTCTGTCAATCCCTTCAAAAGGTTCACAGTTTGTAAAGTTCAAATGGCACAGAACTTTCACGAATTGTTTTCAGAAATTGACAGGCCTACATTTGACAAAAGGAACTACTGTAATTTCACTTCACAGCAGCAAATTTCCACTGACAAATCAAGTCAAGAACATTCTGCTTCAGGAACTATATCAAAATCTCTTTAATGACATTTTTTGAGTTTGTGTGATTCAAGCTTTACAGCATGTTCCCTCCTTTTAGCTGGTACTGCACTAAAAGCTTGTGCTGGCTTCATTTGAAAATATCTGATAATAAGAAGGAATTTTCTTTGTGCACTTATTGGCCATTGGCAAGAAGTACTTTGCAGTAATCAGTTCCAATGGGAGCAGACATTCACAAAAATTGCTGGTATTGATGAGCTTCTCATTGTGGTGGAAATGGAATACGTCGATGTAGATAATTAACCTCTAATGGCCATCACGGCTAGCAATGCCTCCTTAATAGATGAACTAAAGACAAGTTTTTGTCATAGTTCCAGTTAAATGTAGTCTGAAGATGAAGACTGAAATAATGCAGATTATCATATTTATCGAGGGCTCAAAACTTGCAATTAAGACCTCAAGCTATTGATGAAGAAAGAGAAAACTATGCAACAACATTGGCAAAAAAGGGTAAAATGCAGCATTTTCACTACGTCAACCAGAGCTTGGTTGTGAGCTACTAACCTGGTTAAGCATCCATTTAAACCCGACTGCAGCTGAACACTCATTCTTTGATGCGCTGCTGTACCAGTCCAGATTGTATACCTTATCCATAATCCCATATATCACAGATAAGTTCCTCCTCCTATCTCTTGCCCCAAAGATTTCACCATTTGAGCTGACATTCTCATGGCTATTTAACAATGTCTCAAACCATCCACTGCCAGATCTCTGCATCGATATGATAGCAAAAAATTTTACTGGATTGCAGGCACATTCTTGCCTACATTGAGATCAGACCAATTAATTGTGAACAATCCAGATCTTTTCAGAAACTAAAATGAGTTTCCTATTTACCTGCTAAAGGTTTTGGGTTCTGGAAAATGTAGATATGCAGTTTCACTTATTTCAATTCCAGAAGCTGGGCATTGTTTTTGAATCTGTTTGAGTTTTAGCAAATTACTATCCCTGAAATAAGCCATTTGCGTTGTACAAATTGAGAAAATGTACACTCCACAAACCATACTGAAGAGTAAGACCGCCATTCTCAATAGCAATGGAGATTTCTTTGGTGTCTTTATCACCAGTCTATCCTGTATTCATTAAAGATTAAAGATTTGTTAGTTCTTCTGGAATGCCAAAAAGGGCCGCCTATTATAGTATGAATCTGGTTTAATATAACATGAAAGTATTAAAGGGACGCTGCATCTGTAGAAAGCATACCATGTAAAAGACACAAGCTAAACTGAAGCTTCCACCTAAAATTTTCCATTAAACTGTGAAGGGCAGAATCAGAAGAAGAATATAGAAACAAAAGTAATTTGTTTCTTTTCTTTTATTTTTTTTTTACTGGTTATTTTTTCACTTACGCAAGAACAGTTAGAGAAATGAGGAAAAAGAAATGGTCAGCGTGAGGCTACTAGGACAAGATCAAATCTGACCATGAGCAAAATCCACTCTCCTCATGAGGTTCAACAACTCCCATGAGTAGTCAAGAAGAATAAAAGCCCTTAGAGTGCGTGATCCGGGTTTTTTCTGGCCGGATTACAAGTTGACAAATGAACTTATTTCCCATAAATCTAGGTCCAAAAGAACTGAACTTGACCGTTAAAGCTGGAAATAGACATGAAACTGAGAATAGAAAAAGCAAGTGGCACTTGTACCTCAAAGACCTTAATCAACAAGGATATTTCCTGAGCCGTCTTTCAGGAAATGTGGAAGAACATAAAGACGCTTTAAAAAGAAAAGAAAAGAAAAGAAAATGGTGGGGTATAGCTTGTTTTTCTTCCTCAAACTTCACCACTGGTATAGTTATGTTGGTTGAACACTGGAGATGACAATTTGAACACTCGTCATTTCAATTGTTTCATACTATTCCACAAGTGGAGCTCTTTTCCGAGTATTTCAATGGTTTTGGTTTGTTTTTTGTTTACATCTTAATCTAAACACCTATAATTATAAATGCAGGTTCCAAGAATGGCAATGTTAATGGCCAAAGTTTTGCGATCGAGTGATGGAATAACTACAACCGACCGAATTTGTGTCTAGTTTTCCAATTCTTGTGTACAATGGATTTGGTAAAAGCACAAAATTTTTGTTGATAACATAACTCAAATGCATAAAAATTTCAGGTGTAGACTTCACATTTATAGCTACGAACGTCCATCAATTGCGAATAGCATCAGGCAAAAATAGTTTATAAGGCAGACTATACTATTCTTGGGCATGTGTAAGGAAAGAATCATGAGCCAGTAATATACTAAGCTTATCCAGCAATTGTTAAATTACAACTTGATTTTCTTGCAGATGAGTTTGCAAACCAGTTGGTCCAACTTTCTTGTAAATTTCGTCAATTTTATGTCGCCAGGAGAAAACCATTCACATAAATAAAACTATCCTAACTTCCACTCAACTTTCTTGAAGAATTTCTGAAGCAGAAAAATTCAACGTCAGTTGTCTGTGAGTCTTCTTCTTGTCGACTTAATCAACAATGGCTTCCTTGCAGGAATTTTGTCCTCCGGGGTCCAAGTCAAACACCTCAGTTCCAAAGTGAACTACTGCCCACAGTCCGGCGTCCAAATTTGACGGCTATAAGGCCCATGGCCACAATGAGATATTAGTACTAATATTTATATACACTCTGACGGCCAAATTTGACGGCCACGAGGCCCACCAGCCACAAGTACATTTCTTGGCAATGTTTTAATCTGATTTCTGGATTTTAATGCAGAAGTTTTTTCATCCATACAAATTGATTAATGAAGCCTACAATGCCTTAACAAGTCCTAGAATCTAACACACACACACACACACATAAGCGTATAAAATCTGGAATTTTTTACTATTTTTTTAGAGCAAATTTTATATGCATTGATAATGTATGCATTATTAGCGTCGTTGAATTCATGATATATGTGTAAAAGTTGAATTTTAAATTTAAATTTTATATAATTATGATTCATTCAACGCAGTAGACAGTGTATAAACTGCCGGTATGTATAAAAGATTATTTGCATTCTTTTATGGCACTGAATACTAGAAGCTCAAAAGGGCCAAGAGCAATTGGGAGAGTGGGTGGAATTCTAAAAGGAGTGAGAGTGTTGAAAATAATGAATGTCTTCATATATGTCATTGCCAAAGTGCATTCCATGTCTCAATTTTCAGTAATTAATAGCACACCATGTTGACCTGAAAACTGTGACGTGTTTTTTGGTACTTATATAGGAGTGTCACCATTGAATTCACTAATTAGTGCCAAATGCATCTTCTTAAAATATGAAATGGGCATTGACTTGAGTTAGTAGAACAGTGTATGCAGTAGCATATGATAAACATAAAAATAATTAATGTTGTTTTGGGATGAACATTTTAAAAAAAAAAAAAAATTATGTCTGATTTTAGTCACCATGCTAGCTGGTGCCTACTCCTAAATCCCAACTTCCAAGTGCAATCAAGCTGTGTAGTGTCGGTGGAACTTTTCAAGGGCTTCTGCAATTGTCTACGACATGTAAAAAAAAAAAAACACAATCTAAAATTTAATGTCTTCCGTCTAAATTCAAGTACATCAATCTCTCAACCTTGAACTGTTCTTTGTGGGATGGTACAAGATTAACACCTGTCTATTTCAGCTGTTCCATCCATACAACTTGCAGCATGGATCCTGAGGAATTTGACACTTTCTTAGAAATCCTAACTCAGATTTTTCAACCATTGGGGCTTGTTGTGCATTTACTAAGAATGAAGCCCCATCGATGATAAAAAAAAAAAAAAAAGTTTGATGTTTGTTGCGCCAAGAAGTCTTTGCCATTAAATATACACAAGACTATTCCGGTGTATAATCGTCCAGTTGATAAAAGAAAAAGACGTAAAAAAAAAAAATCTATATTTGGATGCAGTTGGGCCAATTTCTTGGATCTTGTATATAAAATTGATGTTAATGGGGAGAAAAATATCACAAGCTTATTCCAATTCCAAATTATTGGAAGCATTTAAGTTCACTTGGATATTTTCTGGGATGGCTTCATATGACCGCTAATGTAATATGGCAGAAATTCTACAGCTGCAGAAGAATTCAAGGATCAGTTGTCTATTTTGCTGTCTGTCGACTTCATCCACAATAAGCTTTTCTGCAAGATTTCTGCGATTCTTCATACTTTTCTGCGATTTCTGGAAGAGATGGTCAAACAGCTCACTCCAAGAGAACCTGCTTTCTGCTGTGCGACGTCCAAATTTGACTGCCCAAAGGCCACCGTGACATCTGCGTCGTTCCTCCATGCATATTTTGGTACTCTTTTTTAAGCAAATGCGCATCCTCGATACATGTTCTCAAAAGAATAAAGAACGATGAATGAATTAGTAGGATGAAGAACAAAAAAGCAATAAAATGCTACTCACGTACCATGATTAAGTGCTCTCCACTCTATTTATCAATATTTTTCTGTACATGAATTTGATGTTTTCCTGGACAGATGGTATCCCTTTTCTGATATACTAAAGTGACATTGAACAATTTCTACTCTTAACTGAATACTATTACTTGTGTCTTGCAAATATTTTAGAAGTTGACTATTTCGGTATTGTGCACAACTGTAATGTAATTTTGACACAAACTATGTAGTTTACGATCCAATTGCCCAGAAACAAGACAAGAAATCGAATAGATTAACTCGTATGATCAACTACTAACTTCGAACGCTTCAACACTCCTAAAAACTAACGACCGATCTCCGACCATTGCCCCCACGCTTCCCCCTTCCCCTGGCTGCCCTGAAATTTGAAGCGTTTCTGCTACCTCCAAAATTGTTCAAATTTTACAGTTACCCACAAAAAAAAAAAAAATTATTATAAGTGGAAGAATTTGAACTCGAAATCTCTTACTTATACTCCTTTCTCCCTTCCTCCGACATTTAGACAATAGAATTTGGAAATAAAAAAAAAAAAATTGGACCATGCTATTGTTATTTTCTTTCTTTAAAAAAAATTTTTTTTTTTTAACGGCGGAAAGGTAGGATTTAAGAAGCAGGAGAGGAGACAGAGGAATTTGATTCTAAGACATTTAATTCTTGAGATCTCAATCTTAGCTATTAGACTAAAACATTCTCGGCTATTGTTATTTTCTTTCTTATAAATATTAATTTACTTAATATTTAACCTTTTTTCATATGTCAGAGTATATGGAATACGTGCGAAACAAACATTCACTTGCGAATTTCGCCGTGTGTACTTTTATATACTAGAATTGAATGCAAAATTTGTTACTTTTGCCGCTTTTGGAAAAAAAAAAAAAGAATGTAAATTTTGTGGTTTTATGTGGAATATTTCTATTATGTATTTTTATACCATTAAATGCATTGCTAACTACCCGTACTAGTCAAGTAACATTTATTATAAATGACAGCTGAAGACAGTTTCTTTTACTTTGCAATATTTAGTGAGTAAATGTTGCACACCTATTAGACACAAACTTCAACAAATAATTAGTTGTACAAAAAATTCAGAATCCACACATTGTAAAAATATGTTACATTTATTGCACCATTCAACAACAATCCTAAGTAGGGCTGTCAACGGATCGAGTTTAGTCCCAAACCCGATTCATTTTTCTAGATACAAAATAAGTGATAGATCCGGTTACTCGAATATAACCCGAATCCATTTTATCTATAAACTAAATGGATAAGATATAAATTTACATGTTCCGACTCGTTCTGAACCCGAATCTGACTAGTAATTATTTTAATAAAAAATTATATATTTAATTAAAGTTTGCTACTTATTTTTAAATCAAAAAAGATTTTCTATAAATTAAATTATTGTTAGAAGTAAATTAATTATATTGTTAATATTGTATTGATAAATTTTATGTACAAATAAAAATTATAGTACTTAGTTAAATTTTAAAAATGGATATATCTAACTTGGATCCGAATCTGACCGAGTCCAAATATAAACCTATATATTGAGACTCGTCCTGATCTTTTTCAAAAAAAAAAAAGAATCGTCCGGATCTAGATCTGAATTCAAATCTTTTCATTACATATTAATCTAGGTCTGAAATTATCAATTTTGACTCGAATTCAACCCCGTTAACACCTTTAGTCCAAAGCTCCTAGCTTCGCTGGGAGTGGCAACCATAACTAAAATTTTAGATGTAGAAGTACTTTTGAGCCTTTTGCTTGATACTAAGTTCACTACTGAAAAACAATTTAAAATAAAACATATGCATCTTTTTCACTAATAATTGAAACAACTTGAGGAAACAATTATGACGACATTGACGAGAATACGATATTTGATTTTTTTTTTTTGTTGGACACGATAGATTCGAATCTATACTTACTCCTACTCTATACTAGGGGGAGAAGATGATCCAAAGGGGTCGAGAAGAAAACTCGAGGGGACTGAACTATCACCGATCCAAACGAGTACCACGCACCCTCTAGTGAAAATTTTCAAAAA